TTGAGGTTCATCTCCCTAGGGGCTCAACCCCTCTTCTCGGGCAGCTCTGTCACACTGCCTGCCAGGTGCTGAGCCTGATGTCTAGCAGTTGGCCCTGAAGCTCTGGGTCATGCCAGTTCCCTTAAAAATTACCATTTTAAGCTGAGTGTGGTAGCACAGGCCTGGAATCTCAGCACTCTGGAAGGCTGAGGCAGGAGGGTCACAAGTTCAAACCCAGTTTGGGCAACCTAGTAACTTGGCGAGACCCTGTCTCAAAATCAAAAATAAAAAGATCTAGGGCTATAGCTCTGTGAAGGTACTGGGTTCAGTCCTCAGTACTGCAAAAAGAAAAAAAATTTGCCATTTTAGAGCCTCCTATATTTTTCACACATCTAGTGTTGGCCCTTAGCTACCCTGAACCCATCATCATCTTTTTTTTTTTTTTTTTTTTTTAGAGACAGGGTCTGGACATGTAGTCCAGGCTGGCCTCAAAGTCTCAGTGATCCTCCTGCCTCAGCCTCCTGAGTGCTGGGATTACAGGCATGTACCACAGGCCCGGCTCATCATGCTCTTTCTTGTGAGGTTCACTGCTGTTAATAAAAGCTGGCTTTGTTTGCCAGCCTGATTCCTCCTACCCGCAACTAACCATAGGAGAAAATCTTGGTCATCTTCCTGTCACTCCATGCCAATGACTGTCACCATCACCCACCACTAACAGTGGTGTCCCCAGTGACACGAGGACAGGAAGTTACCTGATTTCACAGTCCTGGCCTGGGTATCTTCTCTCCCTGGTCCCCTTTGGAACCCGCAGTGCGGTGGCCATGAGGTGAGGTGTGGGGATGGGGGTGGCTCTGTGGTCAGTGGTGTCTCAGCAGAGAGACTGGGAGGAAGCTGAGGTCAAGGTGTCGAGACAAGGGATGTCAGGTCCGAGGCGGATCATAGATTTTCTTTCTGAAGCCGGCTGACGCCATTTGCATTTATTGATGCGATGTGATGGATGAGCGCTCCTCCTCCTGGCATCATATTTTATGTCATTCTTTCTCTCTGGAGCGCTTCCTTTGTTTGTGTCTTTTGCTGTACTGTTTATGGTGCTTTCTTCAGGCTATTTCACAGCATTGGTGGCAATTTAGCATGCCATTTCTTTTGGAGCACCAGACCGTCAGGATGAGAGGTGTCAGATATACTAAGATGTGATCTGATGAGTAAAACTGAAGATTCCACACACAGAAGCACACTCCTTGTTTGTTTTACTGTTTTGTTTGTTTGTCTGAGAAACAGAATTTGCTATGTAATTCTTCCTGGCCTTACACTCACCATGTGGCCCAGGCTGGCCTTGAATTTGAGACTATCCTGCCTCAGCCTCCAAGTGCTGGGATTATAAATGTGCACCACCATGCCTGGCTGTTTCACTGTTGTATTTGTGTCCTAAACAAGAATCCTGATAACATCTACTATGAGAGAGAGAGAAAGAGAGAGGGAGAAGAGAGAGACAGGGCCAGAGACAGGGACAGAGGAGACAGACAGGGAGAGAGATGGAGACAGAGACAGATATGCCTTGCTTTGGTGAGAACATTCCCGAGGGAGAATTTTGATTTTGGCTTGGGTTAGTGAGAAACAAATCCTTCACTTACAGTTTTATCTCTTGGATGACTACAATTTTCTGCACATTCTCTGGCTCCTGACGTTTTACACCTTGGTCCTTCTCCGTGACCCACGAAGTCTCAGCAGCAGGCCCTGGAGTGCACGTTTCCTCTCCCAGACAGCCAGAAACATCTCTCTCATTCCAGGCAGAATGGGCTGTGGGCCACGCACACCCATTCCACTGACCCAAGCTAAATACATCCCATGTCACCCACTCTCCCTCATCCCTGTCCCTTCAGACCTGACAAAAGCAGAGGAGCACTGTGGACAAAAATGAGACAAGGATCTTAACCGATTTTTAAAATTGCCTTATCTATAAAAATTGTCTTATCTATAAAAATCTGACAAAAACGTCACCTGTGCTAACATATTGTGGGATCCATCACTCACTGCCATCCTCTGGTGGCCCGTGGGACACAGGAGTCCAAAGCTTAAGCTTCTATGGCTCTAAGTCTGCCTCTGTAAATGACAATATTATAAAACAAAACAAAACTTTAGCCAGCTGTTTGAGAGGCTGAGGCAGGAGGACTGCAAGTTTGAAGCTGGCCTGGGCTACATAGTAAGACGCTATCTCAAAATAAAAAATAGAAAGGGTTAGGGATGTAGTTCCATGCTAGAGTGCCCCTGGGTTCAATGGCTAGTTCTGAAAAAAAAAAAAAAAAAAAAAAGAAAGGTGTGTTGGCTGTATATTTCAAATAGTAAGTGGTATGAGCCTAAGAGGATTTCAGGGCTGGGGGTGTGGCTCAGTGAACACTTACCTAAGTCAAGGTCCTAGGCATGAACCTCAGTGCCCCAAATAAAACAAAACCTCCCTTTCTCTCCCAAAAAACCTTGGTACTGTCTTCTGGTATACCTTGTGCTTTATAACTTAATAGACATTAAGAAATGCAAATTAGGTGTGAGGAAGCCCAGTAATATTCTGAATTTCCACTCTGATGACTGGCTTTATTAGGAATTAAATATCCAATTTAAAAATACTTTTTTTCTTAAACCAGGCATGGTGGTACATACTTATTATCCTGGCACTTGGAAGGCTGAGGCAGGAGGATCACCTTAAGTCTGAGGCCAGCCTGGGCTACATAGTAAAACCCTATCTGAAAAAATAAATAATTTTTTTTCTTGTTCTAGTTTACTGTCTTGCTGCTGTCTGGTCTGCAGGTTGTGCTGAGGGTGTGAAGTTGCAGAGCCTCCAAAGCAGGAGATAATCCTTTCCTTAGAGAGGTATTTGGAATGGTCCTGACCAATGGAACTTTCTGCAGGATGAAACTGTTGTATACCTTTGCTGTTGTCCAAAATGGTGGTCTCCAACTACAAGTGGCTCTGGAGCACTTGGGATGTGGCTAGTGAAACAAAGCAACTGAATTTTAATTTTAGTTTGGTTCAATTAATTAAAAAGTCTTTTTTTCAGGCCGGGGGACACGACCGTAATCCAAGTACTTGGGAGGCTGAGGCAGGAGGATCAGTGTAGCCTGGGCTACAAAGTGAGCTCAAGGCCAGCCTGAACTGCATAGCAAGACCCTGTCTCAAAAAGACCAAAAAAAAAAAAAAAAAAAAGTCTTTTTTCAATGCTGAGAGTCAACCCCAGGGCCTTTGAGCACAAGATCTCCAGGGCCATAATCCCAGCCTTTATTAATACTAAAATAGGCACCTGTGCCCAGTGGCCACCATAGAGAGCAGCACAAACTCCCCACCCATAAAAATGTTTTAATTTCTTCTACAAATGAAGAAAAAAATTAGGCTTAAGAAAATGTTTTAATATACAATATTAATACATTCATCTTTACACCAATGCAGTAGTAAGATACAAATTTAATAAACTGTTGCCAGGAGTGGTGGCACATGCCTGTAATCCCAGCATTTGGGTGGCTGAGGCAGGAGGATTGCTCCAAGTTCAAGGCCAGACTAAACTACATGGAAAGACGCTGTCTCAAAAAACAAAACAAGGGGCTGGGGATTTAGCTCAGCGGCACAGCACCTGCCTGGCAAGCGCAAGGTCATGAGTTCGGTTCCCAGTACCGGAAAACAAAACAAAACAAACAAACAAACAAAAAAAAAATCAAAAAACAAAACAAGGGCTGGGGATATAGCTCAGTGGTACAAGCTCTTGGCTAGCAAGTGCAAGGTCCTGAGTTCGATTCCCTGTACAAAAAAAAAAATAAAACAAGAAAATTTGTTTTCAACAAAACAAAAACATACACGCACAAAAACCCAAAACAGGGCTGGGGATTTAGCTCAGTGGCACAGTGCCTGCCTGGCAAGCGCAAGGTCGTGAGTTCGATCCCTGGTATGGGGAAAAAAAACAAAACCACAAAAACAAAACAAAACAAACCACACACATACACAAAATTTGTTAACAGGGAAATAAGCTCTTGAAAACAGAAGTGCCAAAGACATAGGAAGTCACAGTGTATATGTGTGTAAAAGTCTGTGTACCAGTGTGAGCAAGGGTGTTTCCTCCAACTCTGACCATTCATCAGGACTCCCAGATGTTCATCCACTAGACGGCACACCTGGCCTCCCTGAGTGAGCGCACCTGTCCCACCCTGGCACAAAGAGCCCAACTACCCCTTCAAGCCCAATGCACCTGCAGATTGTGACTGCTTAGGCAAAGGACGTGTGTGTGTGTGTGTGTGTGTGTGTGTGTGTGTTTGGGAGGAGGTGGGTAGCTGTGTGAGAAGAGGGCAGAGAGCAGCTGTGTCTGGAGGAGGTGAGCTCAGGCATCTTTTTTTTTTTTTTTTTTTTTTGTCTTTTTGAAACAGGGTCTCACTGTGCAGTTCAAGCTGGCCTTGAGCTCACTTTGTAGCCCAGGCTGGTCTCGAACTTGCAACGATCCTCCTGCCTCAGCCTCCGCAGTGCTGGGATTACAGATGTGTGCCATCACGCGCGGCTTCAGGCATCTTTAACAATCCTGCCCCCCCACCCCCACCCCGTACCGGGAATCGAACTCACGACCTCGCGCTTGACAGGCAGGCGCTGTGTCGCTGAGCTAAATCCCCAGCCCTTCAGGCATCTTTACACGCCCTGCCTTTGACTCCATTTTCCGGGGGACAAAGTGGGGGCTCGGCATGTGGAGGACCTGCCCGACACAGCAGGGCTCGGAGGGGCGCGCTGCAGACCGTGCACCCCATCCACTCCGAGGGGTGGTCTTTTTCTCGGAAAGGCGCCTCTCAGAGCTGATCCCAGGAAACATCCTCGGGCTCTCCGGGCCTCAGTTTCTCCTTTGGGTGAGCACGGGGGCAGGAGTTCCCTTTAGCTGACCAGGAAGGAGAGGAGAGGGCCGCGGCCCGGTCGCCTGCGCCCGGGTTCGGCTCTTTCTCCCCCGCCGCGCTCTCCACTTAGCGCGCGGCTCCTTTAAGCCTCCCCGCCCTCCGGGGGCGCCGGCCGCGCCCTTCCGGGATCGGGATCGCGGGCCGGGAAGCTCTGGTCGCTGCGCGTTCCCGGCCGGCCTCGGCCTGCGACCCGGAGCATGAGCCGCATCTACCAGGACAGCGCGCTCGGGAACAAGGCGGTGCGCAGCGCGCGGCTGCCGGGGGCCTGGGACCCCGCGGCGCACCAAGGGTAGGCGAGCCGCGCCGGGTCCGGGTGGGGACAGAGGGGTCGGGGTGGGCATCGGGGCTGCCAAAGCCGCCCCCGGGCCCCAGGCCGCGCTTCTCTTCCCGATCCCGGGCCGCGGCTGCGAGGCAGGGCTCCGGGCACCACCGGCTCTCGCCACTGGGCACGCTGTTGTGCCCCGGGGTGGGGTGCTCGAGGTGGGAGGCATGCGTGGAAGATCTGGAGCCACAGGCAGGTCCTACCCAGGGTTACGAGGATGGGACTGTTCCGTTTGCAATCACAGACCCTAAAGAATTGTGCCTGTAATCGCAGCTACTCCGGAGGCTGAGTCAGGAGGATTGCAAATTTGAGCCAGGGCAGGGCAATTTAGTGATTTAGCACCAGTGTCTCAAAGTAACATAAATAAGTTAAAAAAAAAAAAAAAAAAAGATCCACAATGCAGCTCAGTGGAAAGATTTGGGTTCAATCCCCATTACGGCAAGCAAAACAAAACAAAATTGTGCTAAGAGAATAAACCAGACTCAGAAAAACAAACACTATGGGAGCTCACTTACTTGTGGGATGTAAAATATAAAACTCACAGAAGCAGAGAGTGACCTGTGGTTTTCAGGAGTCGGGGCTGGGGAGGGAGACGTGACTGAAGGGGACAGACTTTGAGGTGGGGCATGAACAGGTAGGTTCTGGCCTCTAGCTTACAGCCTGGGTGGCAGCGGTCGGGTTAAATAGTTTAGTTGTAACAGTCTCCAGGCAGTGTGGGTGGAGATCAGGTTGTGCCTCTTGAACGTTTACAGTCTTTGTCAGTTCAATGGTTTTAAAAAAATTCAGGGAGGGCGTGGACAGAGGCAAATAAAGTAGGTGAGTTTTCACTTTTCCTGGCTACCTCCTCACTGTCCCTACCTCTATCCCATTTCTGGGGTTCCCAGAAAGAAAGCCATCAGGTCTGCTTTTATGAAAACTAAAGCCGGGAAGTGGGGAGGGGGTGAGTTTCTCTCAGTGTGCGATCCTGTGAGCTTGGGCTACTCCCAAATGTCTGAGTCTCGTCGTTTCCTTGGGTTATGACCTGGTGATAGGAATATGAAAATATTTTAAAGTAATTGAAAAGGGAGGATAATTTATAGCTGCTCAGGTACCTGCTCCTGATCCCAACTTGCTTAAATTTTTAAAAATTAATTAATTAATTAATTAATTATTGTCTTTTTGAGACAGGGTCTCCCTGTACAGTTCAGGCTGGCCTTGAGCTCACTTTGTAGCCCAGGCTGGCCTCAAACCCCCAACAATCCTCCTGCCTCAGCCTCCCAAGTGCTGGGGTTACAGGCGTGCGCCACCACTCCCAGCTAAAAATCATTTATATTTAGTAAGCACTTCATAATTTACAGAGCACATTTGCATACGGAAGCCTACACTGTCATCCCAGAAGCGGAGAGAGGAAGCTGTTTTTCTCCCCTTTTAGTGGTGATTAAGAAGACCGAGGCTTTGGTCACGAAGACTTGGTGTCCCTGAAGGAGGGGCCATAGCTGGATCTGACAGCTTCACAGGCTTCCCCCTGTCCTGGACCAGGCTTTGGGACCCTCAGGGGAGCAGAGACTCAGTGTAGGAGGCACAGAGAGGCATTGCTCAGTACCAGGCCTCAGAGGAGTAGGGGACTAGGAGACTCTTGGCTGAGACATGCTTTGTCCCCGTGCGGGCTCCAGCCTGGGCTGCCGACCTCCAAGGGTGGCTCTTTCCTGTCGACTGACAGAACCAGTGTCCCCCTTTGCCTCTCATCCCCAGGGGAAACGGCATCCTGGTGGAGGGAGAGCTGGTGGATGTATCTCGGCACAGCATTGTGGACGCCAATGGCAGGAAGGTCAGTTTGCAGCCTTGGCAGTGGCGCTTGTAGGGCCACCGTCACCCACTGAAGTGTCCCAGCCTCACCCACCGGGCTCTGCGAGTGCCCAGACCTGGATCCAGCCGCTCCCCGAGGGGCTCCCAGGGCAAGTGGGAAGTAGGTCATGACATCAGCAGCCCAACAGGACGAGCAAGTGGGGAGGGAACAGGTAGGGGCCGTGCTTTGCAGCGGACATGGGGGACAGCCTGGGTCAGAGCTGAGAAGGCAGACCAGGCACTGCGCCCAGCCTGGCCTGCGTGTGCAGCCTGCCTTCAGTCCCTGTGTTGATTCCCTCTTGTCTGGGGGTCACGCTCTTTATTGCAGGTGCCTGTGGGCAGGCCTGGAGCTCCCCTTGCTGCACTGGCCAGCCTGTCTGTGAGCACTGGTCCTGAACTTGCACCCCTCTTTCCCGTGGCCCACCTTATCTCCCTGGTCACTGCGATTCAGCTCATCCAGATGTCCTCTCAAGGGGGGACAGAGGTCTGGGGTTGCATGGAACCTGGGTTTTTGTCCTGCACACCATGGAAATAGCCTCTCCTCCCAGCTCCCCAATTTTCATGCCCCGAGATGCTGTGCCCATCCTCCCCTCCTTACATACCTGTTGCCAGGTGGGCACACCCATCCAGCTTGCCTGGAAGAGCCTGGCAGTGTCCCCATGTTAACGAGGGGCTGGCCAGCCATGGCTGCCCTTGCACAGGCAGGGCCCCTGCCCAGTCCCTCTCCCGACCCCTCACTCTGCTGATGACAGTGCGGTGGCCACCCGGCCACCAGCCTGCAGATCCTGCTTGCCCCCGGTGAGCAGTGCCAGGTGGGTCCTGATAAAACCCGGCCACAGCCACCCCCGGAGCTCTTCTCTGGCCTGGGCTTGGTCCCGGAGAGACATTGCTGAGACTGCCCCTGCTGTCCCCGTGCCTGTCAGGCTTCTTCTTTGCCCATCTGAGAAACCCAAACTCTACATGCCAGCTCAGCATCCCACCTGCCTTCCCAGGCCAGGATCCCAGGAAGCTGCCCAGCACCCAGAGGGGCTCCCACATGCACAGGGGCCTGTGGACCCGGCTTTTTCTGGGCCCTCCTACACCTTGTTCCCACTCTTGTGCATCTCTCCCCCTTTTGAGGCCTCACCTTCCTTGTTCCCCAGGACGTGGTCCCTGCTTCCTCAGTGTCTGGGGACAGCTCTTCCCCCTGCTTTGAGCAGAACAATCTGCAACAGCGCTTAGAGATACAACGCTTAGAGATACTTCCTGTTTCACACAGGATGTGCCCCCACCCCATATCCCGGCCCTGGGCCCACAACATTCCCAAAACGGGATCACCTTGTTCCTGGGCACCGGGGGACACTGTGGCTCAGGAGGCTGGGAATTATTTGCCCCGGCTCTGTTGGTACCCTTTCTGTGGCCCCTTGGCAGTGCCCAGTGTCTCTGGCTATGTGGGAGCCTTGGAGCCCTGTCCTGGGCTCCCCCAGTCCTGGACTCCTGGCATGGTGGCCATAGCAAGGGTGGCGGGTGCTCCAGTGACACATAAGTGAACATGTGTGTGCATGGGGCATTGGGCCTCTGAACTTGCTTTTGGAGCCAAGGTGGGATTTCGGGCAGAGTGTGAGGCTGTGAGTGCTGCAGCCAGAGCCACTGTGTGTGTGTGCCTGCATGTTCATGTGTGTCAGGGCTTGGTGTGGGTGAAGCAGCCCCTCACGCTGTCTCTGCCCACCCAGGAGCGCTACTATGTGCTGTATATACGGCCCAGCTGCATCCACCGCCGAAGGTTTGACCCCAAGGGGAAAGAAATCGAGCCCAACTTCAGCGCCACCAGGAAGGTGAACACAGGCTTCCTCGTATCATCCTACAGTAGGTACCTGTGGCCCTCCCTCTCTTGGTGGGTTAGGGTTAGGGTTAGGGTTAGTTATGGGACTCCAGGCCCCCAGAAAGTAGCTTCTCTGCACAATTGGCCTTGACACTGGTGTCTGAGCTCCTTCCTGCCCCATACTTGCAGGGAGACCTTCATGTCCCACGTTGGCCCCAAGGACCAGACTCACCTTCCCCACTCCTTAGATTTGCTGCAGCCTAGCAGAATTCTCCCCAGACTGGGGTTTGGGCTTTTTTTTTTTTTTTTTTTTTTTTTTATAAGACAGGGTCTTGCTATGTAGTCCAGGCTGGCCTTGAACTCACTTCGTAGCCCAGGCTGGCCTTATTCCCTGAACCCTCAGTAAGCCTGGGTCATAAGGCAGGCCTGCACCCGTGCTGCGGGTCCTGGCACTGGACATGTCCTCTGGCACTGGCATGGACTCCAGCTGGTAGAGGAGGGGATAGGCCTGGGACTGCAGCCTGCAGGGCTCGGCATCCAGGCAGGCATAGACCAGGGACATCCTGGAGCAGGAAGTGCAGCAATCTCCCCCGAGCCTGAAGCTGGGACCTGCTGGGTTCTGGGGCTGGGAAGTGTGTTTCAGAGAGGAGTGTGCCAAGGGCACAGGGCTTGGCCTTGATGACAGGAAGCTGTGAGAGCTGGGCATGGGTGCCAGGGGAGCAGGTTTGGGGAGAAGAGCTCTGTTTGGGACATGCTGACCTCAAGTTACCTGTGGTCCCTCCACTGGGGGACCTGGAGGTAAAGTCCTGGAACTTGGAGAGGACTGGGCTGGCGGGACACGTGGGGTCATCAGTGGCAGAGGGGAAGGTATGGAAGTGGGCGGGTAATCTGGAGGAGGCAAGGATCATGAGGTGGGCAGGCCGCAGACTGTCACAGGAGCTGGAGAGGGGCCACTGTTCTCTTCCCTGAACCAGTGAACTGTGAGTATGGGGCCCAAAACATCTCTGCTGCTTCTAGCAGAGCCCACTCCAGTCAGGGAGATTCCAAGAGCCTTAGAGACCCTGCCTGGCCCTGGGGAGTCTCTGTGGGAAGGCAGAATTGTATGTTGGTTATTTGAGTCTTGCCTTCTCCTTTGCTGTGTGACCTTGAACCAGTTACTTCACCCCTCTTGGCCTTGGTTTTCTCATCTATAAAATGGGAACCGTCAAAGCATGTCGGTACTCATGGGGGGTTTTCTGTGTGCCAGAGACAGTGCCAAGCGCTTCTGTATTGTATTTCACTGCAACCTCCGCGGTGAAGTTCCTTGAGAGCTCTGCGGAACAGATGCTGAGTCCTGCCCTACAAGTGGCCGTGAGCATGTGACGCTCAGCCCTCCCCAGCTCCTGCAGTGCCCTAGAAAAGGGCTGCTGGCCCAGCAGTTATGGCCCTGTGCTGTGTCTGCAGAGGTAGAAGCCAAGGGGGACAGCGATCTGCTCACGCCCGAGGTGCTGAAGGGGCTGATGAACAAGCCCGAGCTGCTGCAGCTGACCGAGAGCCTCACGCCCGAGCAGACGGTGGCCTTCTGGATGCCTGAGGCAGAGATGGAGGCAATGGAACTTGAGCTGGGGGCCCGGGTACGGCTGAAAACACGGGGTGACGGCCCCTTCGTAGGTGAGCAGCGCGACCTCGTGCTGGCCTGATGTCCCCTGTGCCTGCATGCTTAGTTCCCATGGATCCGGAGCAGCCCCTTGAGGTTGATTCCTAAGTCCCAGACAGGTGGCCCGGGGACATTAGCCTGGACACTGTGGGGTGCCTCCTATTCCTAGGTTCTTGTGAGGACCCTGGTATCTAGCGTCTTAGTGTCCCTGTAGACCTAGGCCTGGGCAACCTCCCCAGAACAGCCGCAGCCTCCACTACTGTGCCACCAGAAGAGGGGACATCTGGCTTATCTCTTTTTCAGATTCATTAGCCAAACTGGAGGCCGGAACAGTGACCAAGTGTAACTTTGCTGGTGACAGGAAGATAGGAGCGTCGTGGACAGACAACATCATGGCCCAAAAGTCTTCACAGGGAGCTGCAGCGGAGATCCGAGAGCAAGGAGATGGCGCAGAGGACGAGGAGTGGGTGCGGAAAGGGCATCATTGTTTGCCTGGCTGGGGCGCGGTTGGTCGTACCTTGTGGCAGGAATTTTGCACGTGTGGTTGTGGTTGGCGGTAGAGTGAGGAACGGCCTCCCAGGTGGTCTGAAGCCTATTCATGGCCATTTTTCGTTTTTTGGTTTTTTTTTTGTCTTTTTGAGACAGGGTCTCGCTATGCAGTTCAGGCTGGCCTTGAGCTCTCTTTGTAGCGCAGGCTGGTCTTGAACTTGCAACAATCCTCCTGCCTCAGCCTCCCGAGTGCTGGGATTACAGGCGTGCGCCACCACGCCCGGCCGTGGCCATTTTTCTGAAGAATATTTCACCCAAAGATTTGAATTGATGTCTAGAGGCCCCAAATGGAACATGTAGAGCGTAGAAGTCACAGAAAAATGGGCTCATTATCCAGGAAATGAGGAGTTGGTTCCTTCTGACAAACCAGGGAGCTGCCGAGCCGGCTCCAGGCCAGCTGGAATGGTGCGAGGCCAGAGCAGGTGCCCAGGGCCCCAGGAGTACCATGTGATTGAATCTATTTGTCCGATCACACAGGAGACCTCTACACAGTGTGCTGTGTCGCCCTCGTCACTCTGCCCCTTTGCCTTTCTCTAGGATGACTGACATCGTGGGCCATGCATGCCTCCGGGCCGGTGCCTCCTACCTACCCCGCTGGAGAATTGCCCCAACCAACTTCCGCCCTGAGCTGGACAGAGCCGGCGGAAAGCCTTGCCCGCTTCTTCCTGTGACCATCTCTGAATTCCCATTCAAGGACCTCAGCTGAAGCCAAACCAAGACCACGACCTTGGCCAGGAGACCCTAGGCTCTGGCTCATGGGGCAGGGGACTGCTCTTTGGGTACAAGTGGAGCCTCTCTGGACATCTTTCCTTGGCAGCAGCCTTGTTCCAGGACAGTTGGAGAGGAACTGGTGCAGTGTGGGTACCCCGTGTAGACAAGTCCCGCTGGCCTAATGCAGAGGGCTTGTTGTTCCCACCCCTCCCTGCCTCCCCGCCCGGGCCTGTCTAGCCCTGTGCTGCAGCCTCTCTTTCGTGCCTCAACCTCCCCTTTTCTTCCCCACCTCATGGCCAAGGTGCCAGTTCTTCATTCCTCTGAGCAGTGTTCCCCCGGGTCCTGTCTTCTGGCCTCACACGCCTATTGTCGGTGCAGCCCTCTGGTCCTTTTGTTTTTGCAGTGTTGAGGATGGAGCCCAAGGCCAAGTGTAAGCTCAACAAGTGCTCTAACCACTGAACTAGATCCCTAGCCCTGGGGTACATTTTTGTGATCACCTTTGTTGTTTTGTACTTTGAGAACTTTTTATGTGTTTTTTTTTTTTTTTTTT